AACGGTTTGTCCCCCCCCGGTGGGTCCCCCCCCCCCCCCTTGTACTGCTCAATGGGTCAAAATGCAGCTGCACAGCAAATAGTGGGAAACTGAGCAGCACAACCCAGGGGGAATGGGAGACCAAGGGCAGAACAACTGCTTTTGCGGAATCAGTCTGAAAGTGTGGAGGCCAGGAGCAGGCACAAGTGTGCTGGCCTGGCCTCCTTCCTCCTTGAGATCTCTAGGTGGTGAGCATGGCTCCTGCACATGAAGAAAATATCCACATGTACAGTCCCTCCCCGTGACAGGGTAGGGTTGCCAATGCCATCCCCCTGATGGGGTATCATACTAAGCCATAACTCTCCACAAATACTGTAATGGGATTGAGAGAATCACAATATAAGACAGTGTATCAAAGGAAGCATAAGCGATTTTGATAAGAATACTTTTACTAACATAATACACCATATAATACCAAAACACCATAGTTGTGTGGAAACAAACATGCAATAATCCTCTTGTTTATAAGACTATAAAGTCTCTTAATATGCAGAACCGTTTCTGAAAATAAACTGTTTTCCAGACTCCTGCCTTGTTGTTTGTGGATAGTAGCGTGCTTGTGTGAGCGACCAGCAGTTGACTGTTTGCCAGTTTCACAGTGGTTTCCTCAGGCACACAGACCAGTTAATTCCGCAATTGAATGCTGGCTCCAATAATTCAAGTGACCTGAACACAAGGGCCAATCCCAGTGACCTACTAGCCACTCTAGAGCATTTTGCCTTTTGAAAATTGGCATGGAGGCTTTTGTGTCCCAAAGAAGCTTTTCTGAATTATTGGAGCCAGCATTCTATTGCGGAATTAACTGGGAGGCCCCCCCACCAGCAGCCAGGTAGGACTTGGCAACCCTGTGACAAGGGGTACCGTTTTGCAAACATAGGGAAGGCGTGTACGTGTGGACGCTCCCTCCACACGCAAGTGCTATTCTTGCAACCTGGCAGTTGTGCGGAGGCAGGGCAGGGACAGTGTACGCATTCACTTAACAATCAGAGAAGTTGCACGTCGGGAAAGAAATTGCAGAAAGCTGCATCTGGTGCATAGCCGAGTCCGTCAACAAGAGCCACATAATCCCTTGTATTAGGAGGACTAACCAGAATGACAGAAAACAATGTGGACGCTTTTAATTATGCAGCATTTTTCATCAGGCTGCATGTTTTAGGGGGGAAAGCAGGGGGAAATGATCTGAAAGCCTTGCCTTGACGGCATACCTGTGTGAAAAGCCATGCAGGTATGCACATTTCAAATGGGGCAGATGTCCAGTTGCACCCTCGCCTCCTGCCTGATGAGGAATTCTGGAGAATATGCAGTCTTAACCAGGGCTTTTTTCGTAGAAAAAGCCCAGGAGGAACTCATTAGCATAATAGGCCACACCCAACATCAGAAACTCATTAGCATATCAGGCCACACCCCTGACAACATATCTCATTAGCATATTAGGCCACACCCCCATGTTATCAGAAGTGTGCTCATCTAGCCACAGCCACCTTTTGCTTCTTATTCTGTTTGCTTTGTTGTCAAAACTCAGGGCCATTAGCATAATAGGCCACACCCAACATCAGAATCTCATTAGCATATTAGGCCACACCTCCATGTTATCAGAAGTGTGCTCATCCAGCCACACCCACCTTTTGCTTCTTATTCTGTTTGCTTTGTTGTCAAAACTCAGGGCTTTTTTTGTAGCAGGAACTTCTTTGCATGTTAGGCCACACACCCCTAATTTAGCCAATCCTAATGAGTTTCTGCTGTTGGGTGTGGCCTATTATGCTAATGAGTTCCTGCTGGGCGTGGCCAACTCAGGAGCCAGCCGGAACTCCGTTCCTGTGCGTTCCTGCCCAAAAATAGCCCTGGTCTTAACGGTGCTGACTGTTACATTGCCTCTGAAAAAGACCCCCTTCCAAAGCAAAGGAGGTGAGCTGTATGCGAAACATGCTTACACCTTATCACAAGGCGCTCTTTAAACCTCAGGTGCAGGATTTTCATGGTCCCGTGTCCCCTTAATGCAAACCTTCAGAAGTGCTGGCATGAAAGCCCTGTTTATGAAGACATGTGATGTTGAATAACAAAACGGAGCTGGAGAAGCCTGTGGAACATTATGCAATTGTTATTCTTTAGCTCGAGAGTCCTGTGTCAAGGCTCTGCATCCGCTTGCACCTTGTGCTGGTAACTTAATAAGGAAGAGAGGACCAGAGGTGAGGTGATTGAGTGCTTGCTTCGGTGTGTTGCATAAAGCAGAGATTAATGGGTTTCCCCTCTTTATTGATGCAGTTTGGGAACACTTGCTACTGTAACTCCGTCCTGCAGGCTCTGTACTTCTGCCGGCCTTTTCGGGAGAATGTGTTGGCGTACAAGGCTCAGCAGAAAAAGAAGGAAAACCTCCTGACCTGTCTGGCAGATCTTTTCCATAGCATTGCTACACAGAAGAAGAAAGTTGGTGTGATTCCACCCAAAAAGTTCATCTCAAGGTTGCGGAAGGAGAACGGTAAGGATGGACTCAAACATAGAATCGTAGAATGTTGGAGTTGGGAGGGGCCTTGCTGGTCATCTAGTCCAACCCCCGGCACTCTGCGGGAGCACAGCCGAACGACAGCCCTACAACATCCCCGAAAGTTGGTCGTCCAGCCTCCGCTTGAAAACGTCCAGCGAAGGAGCATCCACCACCTCCCGAAGCAGTCTGTCCCACTGCTCAACCACTCTTACATCCTTCTAGGGCTAGGCAACGGCCCGAAACCTGAGGCTGTGTTATTCCTAATGAGCTTCTAGTGGAGTCTCTGAGTTCTTTTGCTGTTTGCTGATCTCTGTAGTGAATCACAGAATCACAGAGTTGGGAGGGGCCAGACAGGCCATCTCGTCCAACCCCCTGGCTCAATGTCTTTTTGGGTGCTGCTATTGCCAGTGGATCCCATTTGTGAGGTCTCCTGTGGCATCTAGCTGGCTACTGTTGGAAACAGAATGCTTGGCTAGAATCATAGAGTTGGGAGGGGCCATGGAAGCCATCGAGTCCAACCCCCTGCTCAGTGCAGGATCAGCCTAGGGCAGTGATGGCGAACCTTTTAGAGACCGAGTGCCCAAACTGCGACCCAAAACCCACTTATTTATCGCAAAGTGCCAACACGGCAATTTAACCTGAATGCGGAGGTTTTACTTTAGAAAAAAACAACTCATACATTAACTTAAGATGGTCCAGACAAAGTAAGGAAAGCAATCCCAAATGCTTTCATCTACTTAAAATGATTTGGCGGAGAATTCGACACTTTAATGACAGCCTGGGCCTGGCTGGGACGATGGCACGTGTGCCCACGGAGAGGGCTCTGAGTGCCACCTCTGGCACCCGTGCCCTAGGTTCGCCACCACTGGCCTAGAGCCTCCCTGGCAAGTGTTTGTCCAGCCGCTGCTTAAAGGCTGCCAGTGAGGGGGAGCTCACCACCTCCCAAGGCAGGTGATCCCACCATTGCACAACTCTTACCGTAAAAAAAGGTTTTCCTCATATCCAGCTGGGACCTCCCCGCCCTTAATTTAAACCCATCATTGCGAGTCCCCTCCTCTGCTGCCAACGGGAGCCACTCCCTGCTCTCCTCTAAGTGACAGCCCTTCAGATACTTAAAGAGAGCAATCACAGTCTCCCCCCCTCAGCCTCCTCTTCTTCAGCAGCTGGATGTTTTATTGGGGGTATTAGAGCTGCATGAGCTCCTGAGTTTCTGTTTGGCATTTCAGCAGCTGGGTTTCGGTCAGTAATTGTATTACTTTTTTAAAAATCACGTGCTGCTTTGAGCCAAGATGGAAGCGAGATATAAAATTTTAAAACGATAATATAAATATTTGCATGTGTATTAGAAATGGTAATGAACACTGCAGTGTTCTGTAACTAAGATGCAAGCCCCTAGGGGTGCCAACCTCCAGGTGGTGGCTGGGGGATCTGGGATTACAATGGACAGGGGTCGTTTCGTAGAAAAAGAGCTAGGGGAACTCATTAGCATAACTCATTAGCATATGCCACACCCCCTGACATCAGGGGCCCGGCGGTGGACCTGCAAGGCCGGCAGGAGTGCGAGGAAGCTCCGCCAAGGCCCTCCCTGGCCCCAGGCAGGCAGGAGTGGGGAGAGGCGGGGATACCCTCCCTTTTCTCCTGCCTCCTCCTGGCTGAATGAGGGCTGGAAGCGGGGCGGCCGGAAGCAGGGGGCGGAGCTTTATCATGTGCCCCGCCCCCCCTGCACCTCACCCGGGGGAACTGTGATCCCTCACGATCCCCCCCAAATCTACGTCTGACAATGGATCTCCAGGCAACAAGATCAGTTCACCTGGATAAAAGGGCAGTGTGTGCAGTGCAACCAGGAGGTCCTAAGATGGTCTGGCAGTCAGAAGTTTTATCATATGGCAGTGTGTGTAGTATAGCCAGGAGATCCTAAAATTGCCTGGCAGTCAGAAGGTTTTAGCTCTTTTAGCATTACGCACCACTAGATGGCGAGCTAGAGTTGTTTTTTAAGGCAAGAGACGTTTCAGAGGTGGTTTGTCATTGCCTGTCTCTGCGTCACGACCCTGGCATTCCTTGGAGGTTGCCCTTCCAAATACTAGCTGGGGCCGACCCTGCTTAGCTTCCGTTATCTGATGAGATTGGGCTAGCCTGGGCTATCTAGGTCCGGGCTTTGGAAGGTGGACTCTGTGGCACTGTACCCCATTGAAGTCCCACCCCTCCTCAAACCCTGTCCTTCTCAGGCTCCACCCCCCAAATCTCAAGGTATTTCCCAACCTGGAGCTGGCAACCCTAAAACCCTCTGCTCCTACCTTTCTGGGTGCTGTTATTGCCAGTGGATCCCATTTGTGGGGTTCCCCACGGCATCTGGCTGGTTACTGTTGGAAACAGTGCTTGGCTAGATGGACCCCTGGTCTGATCCAACATGACTGCTCATCCGTTCCAATTATGTTCCCACTATAAGGAGAATCAAGCTTTTATAAAGGAGGCTATGGCAAGTCTCCACTTGACTTCCCTGAAGCTGTCCTTGTGCATAAAGTTAGGTTTGGGAGTAGGCTGCTTTCTCCACTGGGATTTCAGCAAAACAAAACTCCTTCGTGTAAGGAACCAGGGAAATGTGCGGCTTTCTTCCTTTCGCAGACCTCTTTGACAATTACATGCAGCAGGACGCCCATGAATTTTTGAACTACTTGTTGAACACTGTAGCCGACATTCTGCAGGAGGAGAAGAAGCAGGAGAAGCAAAATGGGAAGTTGAAAAATGGCAACATGAATGAAATGGAAGAGAACAACAAGCAAGATGTCACCTGGGTGCATGAGATTTTTCAGGGGACGCTGACGAATGAAACAAGATGTCTGAACTGTGAAACCGTAAGTTTGGGGCTGGTTGAGTTACGCGTTGGTTTTGCACCTGCATGCAGGGCCGGCTCTATCACTAGGCCAGCTAGTGTCTGGCCTAGGGCGCAGGGCCTGTCCAGGGTGCCAACTGCCCTGCCGCCACCCACCCACCCCCCAAAAGCCCCCGCGGGCGCAGAAGGAGAGGCAGGGGCGGCCGCCGCCAGTGCGCCTGGCCAGCAGCTGGGAGGAGCGCTGGGGCTGGGAGGAGCTCTGCTGGCGGCGTGGGCGGTGCTGTGACGTGACGAGGAGCAAGCGAAAGGGCGGAGGTGGAGGCAGGGGCGGCCGCCGGCGTGCCTGACCAGCATGGGCACAGGGCAGGGTGCGGCACTTTCCTCCCCCCTCCACCACCATCGCTGCGACTGCCGCCGACGCCTTTCACGGCCTTGCCGAGGCCACCGGGGGTGGGGGGGGCGGGCAAGCTGCGGGTCTCTCCCCCTCCCCGGTGGGCCTCTGCAGAGGTGATCTTCTCCTCCTCTCCCCCCTCCGTCGAGAGGGCGTGCCTTGGGAGGTGGGGGGGGAGCCCAGCTTGGCTCTCTTCCCTGCCCCGGCGGAGCTCCGAGGCTGCTGCGGCTCCCGCTGCTTGCCTCCTTCCTTCCCGCTCGTCCCCCAGGCCGCTCCCCCTTCGCCTTCCTCAGGCAGGCGGGCGGGCTGACTCCTTCCCCCCCCCCCCCCGTCTAGAGGGCGTGGGGGGGAGCCCGGCTCGGCTCTCTTCCCCACCCCAGTGGTGCCTGCAGGGGGGGGCAGAGGGAGCGTGCCGCCCGCCCACCACGGTTGCCGTTCCGGGGGCGGGGGGCCGAGCAAGCAGCGGGTCTCTCCCCCTCCCCGGCTCCCCGACAGGCCTCTGCAGGGTACCGCCAGCGGCGCCTGTGCCGCCCCACACACACACCCCGCGCGCGGTCCCCGGCGGTCCAGGGGAGGGGCTTTCCTCGGCACCACTTCTTCTCCGGCCGGCTCTCCCTTCCTCCCGTCTCCAGGCCCTGCCAGGAGGTTGGCATCTGCGCTAGCCTAGAGCGCAGGACAACCTTGGGCCGGCCCTGCCTGCATGAGTAGATCTACGTATGAGAATTTCCAGAGCCACCTGAGAAATGTCGATGATTCTGTTTAACAAAATGAGCACTGTCTTGGTCTAAAGAAGGATGGTTGTTTTTTTTCTTTCGTCAGTGTGGTAAGCAGAGTGGCCGATATCCTACACTGCTCTGCTCAAGTCCTCCTTCAGCTCAAGGCTCCTTCCTCAAGTGGCCCTTCAGAAGAAATCTCCTTAGGGGAGAAGAAGGCTTCTAACTTGGCTGAGTGGTGTAGTGAAATACAGGCCAACTTGCTTCACTTTCTCCTTCCCCTGTTGCCATCCGGGGGGGGGGGGGGGATGGGGGA